AGATTCGGACAATAGAACAATTTTTTGTGGTGCAATGCATCGGCTATGCTTATCTTGTAACCTCTGATATATGCTTTTAAGTCTCCGAAGTTCCAGTTAAGATATGGCAGCAGATATGCTGTGACCCAAAGAAAAAAAAGGGATGTATCCTTATGCTTCTTGGTTTTTTTTGTTTTTTTATTATTTATTTTTTTAAAGCCACGCACCCAAATTCACATTGCTCTAGCCACTAAGGCAGAGTGTAACTAGTAAATTGCATACTCAGAAAATATGATCACTTAACGAAATTCCAGAAGCACAAAATATGAACTATCTTAAGTGAGCGTGTTTAACATTCTCAGGAGTCTAATGAAATATTAATAAAAAGAACTGATGTTCACTCCAAAACAGTACCTGGTCCTAAGGCCCCATGGACTGAGATGGATTCTACTGATTGTAAGTCCTCAATATCCTTTGCTATCTCTGGTGTCAATGGCTGCAAATGACGTAGCAAAGTTTGCTCAACCTCATTCCCTGTTTATAATGCCAAATAATTAACCAAAATGATTGCTAGTAACAGAGGGATTAATGTGAAAACCAACTGAAGTAATTACCAGTTAAAGAAGGCGCTGGCATTGCCGCATCCAGAATGGCAACCATATTCTGCCTAGCTTGCCCTGACAGGATTTGCACAACCTCATTAACAGTCACAGCACCAGAAGCATAAGATGAGTCTGCAGTGGGCCCAAGTGGTTCCATTCGAAAAGGGAGACTAAGAGAATGTAGGGTAGCAGCATAAGCTGCACTGCAGTGATACAGCTTTTCATCATTGACGCAGAGAAATGTTGAAGCTTTGCCTTTCAAATCAAGTGGACAGAAGATTAGTCCACAAGAAAGTGTAACTTCTTTAGAACAGAGAAACTAAGAGAGTATCAACACTGATCATAGAAACCGAAGAACAAACTATTGGTTCAAACAAAGCTTTAAAACCTAGGCTCTATAATTAAGTATGCCAATATTCATTCAGGGGAAAATTTAACAGCTTAAGCACAGAATTGGTACTCATTTTATCCTGATTAATAGGATTAAATCAGATATCTAAGAGAGAGAAAAAAAAGGCTGCAAAATCACAATGCTACAGCAACAGTATGTAAACTGAATCTGAAGAGGCTAGAGAATCAATCATGCGAATAATACATTCAAAGGCGCAATATTTCTTACTTCTACTCAATGAGGGTAACCCCACGGGAACGATCAGTTTACATAACGATGATAGCCTTGAAAACGAAACAGCATCGTGAAGCTTCCTACTGACTCTCTGCTTCTGGCTTCTGGGATCCACGGAAGAACCAGGACCACGCACAGCATAGAGCAACACTGGAACATTTGTATATTCATCTGCAATACTCTCCAGAACATCCACAGCTAGAGGAGAAAAACCCCCCGAGTCATCAACAATGAATTGAAAACCCTGTCAAAATACAAATTCATATTGAAGATCTCAACATTGAGAGGCTGATACAAAGCAGGGAGCACCAAAAACTCATTAACTGAAAATACTAGATACTACTTTTGTCGAAGTTAATATTAGCTAATGAATCTCAGTCTCTAAAAGCTTCAAGATACTCACAATCCATGTAAACATAGCTCATGTAGTTGTGACATTGAACATATCACTGACATATATGTTTTAAACAAATTCATCAATAGAGTAAGACACACTGGTCCGTAACTACAAAGACCCTGTTTGTACACCATATTAGACAGTCTCAGACACTAGCTTTCTCAAGGTTAAAATAAAGTACATGATAAAAAATCAGTAGACGGTACTTCTAGAGTACATGATCAACTCGACTAGCACTAATTGACAGCTTGTTTAGATCAAACGTCCCACCCAACATCCCCTATCAATTAAGCCAGGAAAAAGATGTAAATAAGTCAAAGTATAGGACAACAATTTATACTAGTAAAATACCTGAATATGGTCACACTCTTCTACGAAAAAGCGAAGCCTCTCACTAATTTCTTCTACCTGTAAACCCCCAGATAAGGATTCCCTTCCAATCCCGTAATTGTCAAATTTCTGAGGATCCACCCACAATCCACTTAATTCATATAAACTTTGGGGATGATACTCAACTTTTGAAAAGTCAGTCCAGTATTGGACACCATTTTCTAAACTCTCCACTTTATCCCTGTCATGAATTTCTGTTCGAGGATTCTCTCCACCAGTGACACCATTTTCAAAAGTCAAAGAATTTTCCTGCTCTTCCCCGTACAAACTTTGTAAGAACAAATTCTTTTTATGAGGCTCAGCAGCATGAGTAGAAAAATTACCACCCCTGCACATTGGTTTAGAGACAGTAAAATCATCTAACACAACATATAAAGAAGAACGCAAACAAAATGCATAATTTTTTTAAACCCTTTAAAAAAATGTTTTACCATGTCAAAATATTTGATGATGCAGATGAACCCTCATCATACAATGTACCACGAGAGCTCATAGACCCAAGGGACCCTGCAAAAGTCAAAAATTGAAAGTTTGCAACTTCCATACATTTCAAGGCCACTAAATACACAAACCCAATTGCAGTTTTCAAGTACCTTGAAGATCAACAGAAACCAGGCGGGGAGTGTAAGTCAAAGTACCCTGTTGATGTCATGTGTGCAAGTCTCTAAGTAGAAGAAGGTGAAGCGAAACATTTGAATCAAAGTAAAACAAATAAAAACAAAAAATCCGCACACCTGGTGCGTCTCACCAGAGCGGTAGAGCACGTCCATGTTCAAAGACTGATTCTTGAATACTGGGTCAGCATAAGGGTCTTCCGCCAACCCATTTAGCTCATCCTTCAAGAATAAATGAATGAATATGGTTAATCAACGAAGGAAGTTGAATGGCAGAGTGAGTAAAGCTTGTGTGTGTGTATGTACCTGGAAGTTCCAGAAATGTGAGCCCACAAAGTTTGCAAAGCTTCCAACTTGGAGGGTGACGAGTTCTCTCATGGTTTCGGAACCAGCAAAGCTGCCAAGGGATCGGAGGGAGGGAATGAATTTGGAGCCAAAGGGGTTGTGAGAGACAAAGGAAGACTGAGACGTAGGACGGTGCGTTTTAGCAGTTTGCCAAAAGGATAAGCATTTAGTTGGGCCTATAAAACAAATCCAAGTCCATCAACCCAGAATAGGAAGAAGTGTACCTAAGCCTGGCCCTGGTGCACGCACTTGCATGTTGGTCTGGGTTGTCTTTAAGCCTGCTTGGGAATTGTCTTAAGCCTGCTGCGCCCTTGGGATTGCTTCCGGAAGAGTTAAACTGCTTCCTAACCACTGAAAAACATGTAGCGTTTGGTAGAAACTTTTTTTTCATTAAAAACACAAAAACACTTATGAACAGAAGTATTTACTTACAAAAGAGTTTGATTGTCCAAGTGCTTCTTGCGAATAGTTTTTGACTATTTTATAAGCCCTTCATCCGAGGTCCTAAATTCGCTTCCCTCCTCCTCTAAAATCACTTGGTATATTTTCTTTTGTTAATTACATACAATAGATGACCAATACGCACACAAGTGAATATCATAAAATGTTTTTTATACACCAATTGTATATAAGAATTTTATCTCCACAAATTTGTTGACAACTTGTCAAAGTAGTGGATTTGTAGAATGGATGACATAAAAGAGTATTATAAACACTGGAGGAAAAAACCAAAATCTTATTGGGTGATCGACTCATTTCTTCAATGAACAATTTTTATTTCAGGTGACTGGCACACGTTTTCATCACCACCACTGATTGTGCTCACAAACAATCTAAAGACAATAAGATATGTTCAAAATATCCGACAATACAAACAGAGAAATATCAAATGGTTGACATTGAAGCGAATAAAAAATGAAAATGTTTGGTGGTTAATGAACATAACAGGGCACAAGTGAAGGGCCATCTTTTGAATCATTGAATTTTCTACCGAAAAGATTCTTGGGGGCTCACCATATCAACTGTTTGAGATTCATAAATTTTAAAAAGAAATGTTGCTTTATCTTGAGGGTGACTGCTTTGTCGTGGATCCATAATGGTCTTTGCATGAGCCTAGCTGTAAGGTGAGATTATTCTATTTACCAAGAAAACTGGCGAGCTTATTCAATGTATGAATGGATAACATAAAAAATGTTGATTAGGTCCCCAGTTTCATTTGACAGTGACTTTGCGTTTTCAATATGCCATATCCCTATCAACCACCACCACCATGGACATGACAGAATTGAGGCTTGCAGATGCCATGCCATTTTATTTGGAGAGAGATTTTATACAACATAGGATTATATATTATTTAAAGCAAACTAGTACTACCACAAAGATTTGTAATAGTAAAAAGAATGCGACTGTTTTTGCTACAGAAAACAAAAGTTGGTAGTTGAGAAGTGATGTGCAGAGAGAGAGAGAGAGAGAGAGAGAGAATGAGACGGCATGCTACTAAGAATTCAAGGACAATGCAAGTGCAAAGGTTTATGAACAAATGAACAAGTCCAAGGACCAAGTTTGGGGTAAAATTGCTGGCCTTTCCCCTTTATTTTGCAAGCTGATGATCAGATGTTTAGGATTCAGTTGAACAAAAATTTGATCTTTGCTTGATGACAAGCAGCAAGGCAAACCCTCTAATTTTGGCATGGAAAGAAGACAACCGGTTACGGATACACTTGTATTCTCAGGATGGAGTTAGATTTTCATGTTAAATTTCCACAATGACGGTTAAGGATTTTGAAACCGCTGAGGCTTTAGCCTAGGTGACAAGGGAGGAGTACGAAAAGGATTAGGATAAGTCATGGGTTCAATATCATCATCCAATGTACTAGAAAAAGTTCAAAAGGATTTGATAAACTTTCGGGTTCGGCCCCGATGCCAATAAGGTTCGAGAACTTCTGAAGGCAGACAATATGTTGCAGAAATCTGATGGATAGAGATTTCAATTTGAACCTCTCAAGTTGAGATACTAGAGCATAACTAATATAAAAGAAGTTAAACCATACAAATAAAATAAAGTGAATATTATGTTGGGAACATTTTCATCTTACTTCCTACAACCAATAAGGGGTCATTACATAAACCTGTATAAAAGAACCAGACGAAGAAACTTGCTCTAACAATGGCAAATTCACATCTCCTCTTTCTAAAGCAGTGCCTCAAAAGATTTTAAAAAAAAAAAACTTCAGCTGCATATCCCTTCTCTTTTTGCTAAAGGTACCTTATTACTATTACTCATAATTCAGAGACTATGATTCCCCATGTATATTTGTATCTGCAAAATTCATGGGGGATGATTGTATGTCTATACATCTCCTCCTTGGTTGTTGTGAAGAAGCCCACCTTTCCAACTCTGGCCATCTGATTTCTCATCTTCTTCTGCTTCTCTGCTGTTATCTGACTCACCTCCAGTTGTAGATCGACCTTTGGCGAACTCACCTGGAAGGAGAGGACCTTGTGGAGAACCAGACTGTGAGTTGTTTGCCTTAGAATGGTCTGCACTGTGATCTAGGGGCATCCATATGCCATTGCCTTTGGCAGCAGAAGAAGTCGGAAGCTTTCGGACATGAAGCCTGTATTTCTGCACAGACAAATCAGACAAACACATGAGCAACCACTCTGACAGGAAAGGAAAATTATAATTATAGATGAGAGAAACACAATTAAGTAACCAACCTGCAAATGGCTTTTCACTTCATCATTGGTAAGACCATCCACCTGCATAAGCTCTCTTATCTGCTTAGGAGTGGCTACTACAAAAAAAGAACACACAGATAAGGAACAAGCGCATAAAATCAAAAAATAAAGGAGAATTTGATTCAAATAATTTGAAAAAAGGACTAAATTCAAGTAGTTTGGCATAGAAGCATAAAGATCAAGTATTTTCTAAAATTGTCATGCTGTTGAAAGTCCTGAAAACCAACAATAAGTCTTACAACTTCACAAGTGGAAGTGCAAGATTCCACGCACTAAATTCAATTTCTTAAGAAAAATTCTGAATTGGAAAGGAGTAAAGGACCAAAGACCAAGCAGATTTTCCAATTCCAATTTCCAGTCAAAGTTCAACTTCTTCCCCCTACATATGTTTCCCATCTTATTTTTCAAGAAAGCAATATCAATCAGCTTAATTATATTATTTTCTAGTCTCAATCTCCAACCTTGTGTTCCTCCAAGCTGTTGAAGAGATTCAACAAAGCGGCGGTGAAGCTCAGGTGACCAGCATCGCCTTTGCTTCCTAAAGGGTTGTTGCTGCTGTGATTGCTGTTGAGGTTTGTTCTGTAATTTGAGTTGGCCAGCCAAACCAGAACCTGAACCGCCTCTGCAGTTGTTGTTGCTCTTAATGTTTGTATTGGTAGAAGCATCCAGTGCTTCAGACATCAATGGAGTCATAAGAGAAAGGCTTGGGACCTGTGAGACCTCCTTGTCATCTTTAAGACACGTTCCTGTAAAACCAGACTCATATTGTTCCTTGAATGGCACAAATGTCCTTCCCACGGCTCTGTTATTACTTGGCTCAATTGGATTCTCAGGCACCGACCGATCATCTTCTACGTTCCTCTGTGATATGCACAAAAAAATTAAGAAGATTATGAAAATTCTGCAAAATCCCAATAAAGTTCCAGCCTTTAATAAGATTTTTTTCAGGAAAAAAAAAAGGGGGAATTTAGAATTTAACCAGTCTGAGTCCTGATACAGAGTCGTGGTTGCTGTACTCAAAAACATTGAGGCTTGTGCTCCAAAGCTGAGCAGAGCTCATCCAGTTCTTCTTGTCACTGTTTTCCTTTCCCTCCAGATTACCCTTCAATGGTATGAATTCTTCTATCACAGGCCGATCTTCCATTTTCTTACACTGCATTACTTTATCCTTCAACCTCTCAATTGCTGCATACCCATCAAATCAAACCAATCAATCATAAAAAAACCCCACCTAAATAATATTAATAATCTTGAAGGAAAAAATATGATAATCAGAGAACCCACCATCCTTTAAGAGCAGCATGCAAAGAGGAAGCTCGCGCTTGAAAACTTCAATCTTTCTCATTTCATCTTCGAGCCTTTTCACATAAGCATCAAGCTCTGACGACCTCTGAGAGCTATCTTCCATGGTTGAGAGCTGCACGAGGAAGTCAGAGATTGTTTTTGGGATAAACACCAGACTGGTGTCCAAGCTCAGCTCCATTTTTCACTCACTCTGTTGTTTCTCTCTCTCTCTCTCTCTCTCCGTGTCTCGGTCTCTAGCATTGCCCAGATAAAAACTGATAAGGAACAGAGAGGCCCATTTATATGTGTAAGGGAATTTCAGATTCAGGACACACAAAGATTCAGTGCTTCGCATACGGGTCGTCGCGTCTTTGGGTCAACTCGGAAACTCAGTTCATTGACTCGGGTCCGAGTTTTGACGGTGGAATCTTTGGAATCCGTACTCACGCGGCGAAAATGTAATAATTATTGTAATTTTCTTTTCTTTTCTTTTTTCTATTTTTACTTTCGGTTGGTATTTTGTGGGGTGCCCTGTTCAAGATTCTTTATTAGGTGGGTTAAAAGGAATCGTTGACCTTGCCGTATTAATGCGAGAAGATTGAGGGCACTTTGGTCATCAAGGGTAAACTTCTTCTTCTTTTTTTTGAAATTTTTTTTGGGGGTCAGAATTAGTTCTGCATTTCTTTTTTAAATTATTAGCTTTTCCACACGCACTTCCGTGCCTACGAGAGGTTTTTTTTAAAAAAATTTAAAAATTTATTTTAGAATTAAAAAAAATAATGGATAGTTGTGTTCCATACAAATAGGATACATTATTTGATTTTTCTTTTTCTTTTAATTTTTTTAAATATAAAAAAGTGTGAATGTTCCATATTATCCTCATTTAATTAATAATTTCAATTCTTAATGTTTGCATTAACCAATGGCATTTTCTGGTATTTTCTGGTATATAGATAGATAACTTGTTTTTACTCTTTAATAATACAATATAAAATAAAAATTGTTACACCTTAACATGAAAAACAAAAATTAAACAAATACTTGGCTTCAACGACATTGCATTGTAAGAGAAATAAATGAATGCCTCCAATCACGCTATGTAAATATCTTGGAGGAAAAGAAAGATAGATAGGATTATGGTAAATAAATTCTCACATCTAAGGCGAGGAAGAGGGCATGTATCTTTTGTATACGCCAAGACAGTTTGCACAACAACACGAATCGTATCTTTCTTTTTTTTTTTTGAAATTTTTTTTGGGGGTCAGAATTAGTTCTGCATTTCTTTTTTAAATTACTAGCTTTTCCACACGCACTTCCGTGCCTACGAGAGGTTTTTTTTAAAAAAAATTTTAAAATTTATTTTAGAATTAAAAAAGATAATGGGTAGTTGTATTCCATAAAAATAGAATACATTATTTGATTTTTCTTTTAATTTAAATCTGATTTTTCTTTTAATTTTAAATAAAAAAAGTGTGAATTTACCATATTATCCTCATTTAATTAATAATTTCAATTCTTAATGTTTGCATTAACCAAGGGCATTTTGTGGTATTTTGAATGTTTCACCATTCTCTGCCTTTTGCTTTATATATATAGATAGATAACTTGTTTTTACTCTTTAATAATACAATATAAAAAATAAAAATAAAATTGTTACACCTTAACATGAAAAACAAAAATTAAACAAATACTTGGCTTCAACAACATTGCATTGTAAGAGAAATAAATGAATGCCTCCAATCACGCTATGTAAATATCTTGGAGGAAAAGAAAGATGGATAGGATTATGGTAAATAAATTCTCACATCTAAGGCGAGGAAGAGGGCATGTATCTTTTGTATACGCCAAGACAGTTGCACAACAACACGAATCGTATCTATAACAACTTTGAATCTATATCCACTAATAGTCACCAATTGCCAATGAATGAAAGGCCATTCCCCAAAAGAAACTCATTCTCGTTCAATGGCCTCAAGCCACTCAATAAATAACAACTTTTCTCAATTGAAGATTATTGAACCTTTGTTTATTTAAAACGAAAAAAACTAAAACTCTCAGAATGATAAATAACTGAATTAACAAAAATATAGTTAGTTGCAAGAATAATAGAGAGATGAATTGAATAGTTAGTTCGGAAAATAGTAACATCATGATTTTTGGCAAATGCGCCAACAAAACTTGACTCTCTTGTATCTAAGCGACAAATCCTTTGATGCCAAATGACCTCCACCTAGTCAACAAAATAATTCTTAGGGAATGTCGACGTAGGGCGAGAGTTATTGAAATGAGGACTTTTGTGTGTTGCAATTAAAAATCTAGATATTATTTTCATGATTTTTAGAGAAAATAAATACCGACGGAAATATTTTATACTCACCACTTTAACCTAAAATGACATCTTCACCACTATTCTCACTACTTGACACGTATTCATTGACATAACTATAATAACAAGTTGTAATAACAAGCTGCGCCTCGTAGCATTTTGTCCAGCACCACCAAGAAAAATGACTACCATCATGTAAGTAAAGACATTTATGTTAGACCCCAAAAAAAAAAGTAAAGAAATTTATGTGGTGTGAAATAATTAGATCTTAAACTATATTTATCATGAACCGGATAAAATAAAATTGACAAAGCATTGGAGCAATTTATTAGAGTTAGCTGTCTAATCCTATTACCAAGATATATCTGTCAAGGCCACTTTTGACATTTTTGGACGGATCACCGCGTCGGTAAACGACTTATACTGAAAACAACATCATCGATTACCAACTATGCCCTTGCCGATTGCATGAGTGGTTTTAGCATTCGTTTCTACGAATCATTTGTTGGCTAGTGACCCTCCATCAATATTTTTTTTTATAAAAAAAGTAATTTTCTTTTGATGAGAATTTTACCGTGCACTTATTAATACTTGTTTGTTGGTGTGTCAATTATGCACCCCCCAACCAACAACACCTCCAAGGGGCATCTAGAAAATTGTGGCTCTTTCTAATCATATTAGCTAATCACATAATTTCATAATAAATATTTTTATTAGTGACTAATTATATTAGTTTATGCAAAAAGTACATACCAACTATGCTTGCTTTAATATAAAATGGAAATAATTATCCCTAATTGGGTAATTAGAACCCAACAAAAAAATCAATAATAAAATAGCGAAAAAAGTAAAAAAAAAAAGTACAAAACGTTTGCCATGTGAAAGATTTTGATTCCCTTTAAGTAAAGCAACTTTTCCTAGACCGTTTATGGTTCATTCGTTAAGGGTCCCAGGGCAACGCTAAGCACACACAACAGCAGCAGGAGTTGTGTCACCGCTAACCATATACCGACACGTGGTGCACGATCCTCAAATCCGGAGCGGTGAGGTTCCTCTTCGGTGCGGTCTCGTCCGTTAATAGAAGAATGACATAATCGTGGTTTTTGTCCGGAATTTCATGGCTCATTTTCGATCGATTTTGCGCCTGTCGTAAGATTCCTCACCATGCAACCGACACGTGTCCAGGGCATCCGGTTTTTGCGCATGGCAGCTAAAAATAGGGTGTTTCTTGTAATTTAGCCTTGTTGGGGATAAGGATTCTTTTGGGGATGGATGATGATGGGCTTTGGTTGGTTTTTGTTTATTTTCTCTCAGGACAAATTGCGAAAAGATGCTCTCTCATTCAATATGACAACTATTTGCAACCATCCATTGTGTTTTAATTCTACAATTTATTTATATAATTCCTTCTTTTTTAAGAATCCTTGACTTGCTTTTCCTTGGGATCCTTATTATAAACATACAAGCTTGTTAAAAGTACTTACTTCAAACTATAATTAAGAAAGTCGATTTGGAGTTCTTTATTTTGGTCAAAAAGTTAATTCGGAGTTTAATCGAGAGCAAAACTATGAAATTTTATAAGGGTGCGCCGTAACTTTGTTTTTCATTTAAGGAGTTAACGGGGGTTGGATGAACTAATTTCTTTTGCGAGACCCAATTCGTTTTATCACAAGTTGTCCTACGTTGGTTTCTTATATTCATGTCATTATGGAGGCCCTAGAATTGTAATATTTTGAAGAGAATACGAATATATACCAGTGATTTGCATGAATTCTCTTTAGAATCCACGTAAATGTTGTACGTTCAAGGAATATGGTTCTGTTGAAGAAGTGCAGTTCTAGTTTTGTCTATGTTTAAAACAGTATCTATGTCTAGATCAGGTTGGAGAATTTTGGATCGGATAATAATAAATACCTATTTATTTTAATTATTCGTCGAATTATTTCATGAGGTTCCCAGTTAAAGAAAACACAAACAATTCCATTATTCTTCTTTTATAATTAGTTGCATTGAAAATATGGGCCTAGTTAGTATCAGAAATAGTTTACCTATCCAAATGAGTTACGTCCACGAATTCTTTCTTGTTCATGCCCTGCAACTGGAAAAGAATATTTGCCCTAATAGCAAGTAGGTCCCCTTCTGCTTAATTATGCTAAGTATTCTGCCTGTCCAAATATAGATTGATCAAGTCTTTTGAAGATTTGAGGCAATGAGGCACCTTCTGCTTTTGCTTAATTATCTTGGTTTGGAGTAATTTAATTACGTTTTTGTATTGCTGCTAGCTAGCTGTATGCTAATGTATATTGGTCAAGTGCTGGTCCATTTAAGTATACATGCTTGTTCGATTTGGAACTACGTTTGAACTCTATGTGTCACAATTATCGAAATGGAGACAATAATAATCAAGGTTAGAGACATCACTATTGGGTGAGCGGTGTAAAGAGTGACAATAATTGAGTTTTATGGTGTAAATGGAGACACACAACTAAGATGTCGTAGGAATTTGAATCTCAGATCTCTAGTTTGTAAGTCAATGTCAGGACTAGACTCCATTGGTATAATCGAGTTAATTAATTTAAAAAAATAAAAAGAGAATAAAGAGATAATAGTGGTGATTAGAAAAGTATAAAGAAGAGACATTAATTACGAATATAATCCCGTATAGAAAGATTTAAACACAAGACTTCGGATGCATCCGGAGTAAGGAAAAGGTGTATAAATTTTGGTGAGGGTTTGGATGATTGGTAATTGTTACTTGTAGAGGTAAAAAGGGAATTTTGCTCCTCCTAAAAGAGAAGCGGTACGCCGCATAGGAGAAGAGGTACTTACTTACACACCTGTCCCATCCCATCTCAAAAGCAATTACTAATCTCTCTTTTTATCTTGTGATGTTGCTTTTTAAAGGTTGATCTACGTGTTTCCCACTACCGCTTCTTGTTTTCCACTATTCAACTATTACATAGTCGTACTCTCGTCGTA